GCTGACCCTGAGCGGGGAGATGGCTGTCAGTCGAGAGCAGCTGAAGAATGGAGGGTTAGGAGTGGTGTCTGATGCCATCTTTGATTTGGGCAAGAGCCTGTCACAGTTCAACCTGGATGACTCAGAGGTGGCGCTGCTGCAGGCTGTACTGCTCATGAGCTCAGGTGAGATGGACTGCCAGCTGCAACAGCCATATGTACTGTAGGTTCTTAAGAATCATAACTATTAATCTTGAGATAGTTCACCCAAAAATGAACATCCTGTCATCATGTCACCTTCATGTTCTTTCAAACCTGTATGACCGTTTCCTTTTCTACCATGAAACTCAAAAGTAGAATTTTTACAAGTTATTGTTCACTGATAATCTTGCCCGTCACTGCAGCTTTCGGATCAAATATGGCGTCCTAAAAAGCACTGTGAAAGGTTTGATGCATGTGACGAGACTAATGATGTTTGAGCTATAATGGGAAGGAGGTTTATTAGTGAATAATAGCTTTCTGTTGATTCCTCACAGACATATAACCTCAGAAGACATATGGACTACTTTTATTGTTCTTTTGTGCTTATTATACAGTACCATTCAAACATTTGGGGTCAGTAAGTATTTTCTTTAAAGAAATGAACATTTTACCCAGCAAGAATACATTAAACTGATCAAAAGTGTCAGTAAAGACTTTTATAATGTTATACATCATCTTTTTTCAAAGAAGTGCTGCTCTTTTAAACTTTCTATTTATCAAAAAATCCTTAAAAATGTATCACAGTTTCCACAAAAATATGAATCAGCACAGCGGTTTGCAACATTGTAAATAAATAAATAAATATTTCTTGACCAGCAAATCAGCATATTAGCATAAATTCTGAAGGATCATGTGACACTGAAAACTGGAGTAATTGATGAATATTCAGCTTTGACATCACAGGAATAATATACTAATTTGAAAATATCTTACAGTTGTAATAATATTTCACAATATGATTGTTTTACTTTGATCAAATAAATACCACCTTGGTGAGCATAAGAGACATGAAACATGAAAAAATCTTACCAACCCCAAACCTATGAATGGTATTGTATATGTAATCAGTTATGTTTTCTTTAATATTGTGTCTACTGATAAATGGCACCATCTGGTGGGTCAAGAAAATCACAGCCAAAATGGCATTACAATTTTTTTTTTAAATTTTATTTAGTCATTTATCTATGGAAGCCCGTTTCCGCCACTAAATAAAAATATATAATTCTGTAAGTCATAATAATGAGAAACTAAGTCATTATTATGACTTAGTTTCTCATTATTATGACTTAGTTTCTCGAAATAATGACTTAGTTTCTCATTATTATGACTTAGTTTCTCATTATTATGACTTAGTTTCTCATTATTATGACTTAGTTTCTCATTATTATGACTTAGTTTCTCATTATTATGACTTACAGAATTATATTTTTTTATTTAGTGGCGGAAACGGGCTTCCATATTTATCAGACGCTTTTATCCAAAGCGAATTACAAATGAGGACAACAGAAGCAATCAATTGTAGTATTAAAACAACTAAAAACATCCAAAACTAAAAGCTAAAACTTAATAAATACTACCTATACATATTTTAAAAATAAAGAGATTAAATTAAAATGACATATACAAATATCTAATTTAAAATATTTCATAAATGATTAACCTTTTTATGTAACATCCATTCATGCTCAAGTGAGATGCATTACAAAAATGCCTGATTTATAAAATTTTTAATATAACAGTAGTCTGTTAAAGCCTGCAGTCTAATGATGATTTACTTACCACTGTACAAAAAAGCGTTAAAGGAGACATAACACACACAGTTTCTGCCAATCTCATGTTAATCTTGAGTACGTATAGAGTATCGCATCCTTCATATCACCAAAGAGTCTTTAGTTTTATCAGATTTATAAAAGAAAGATACAGCTTTACGATTCTCTCCGAAAACAGCCGAGCTCCTGGAGGTGTGTCGTGGGTGGAGCTAAAGAGTAGCGAGCACTTACGCGCAGATTAGCAACAAAACACAGAAATTTGATGCAGTTTTTCTTACCGTCTGCGGTTCCGACTCATGACCGGGATCTTTTATTGCTTGGGACCGCTCCATCTTTCAGTATCAAACGATGTGCAAATCCAGCATCAAACTGGGCCTTCTTTATAAAATATTCGTCACAGAAATGACGGGAACAAACAAACACACATGCAAAACTCCGTTGCTGTCCCGGAAAAACAAACTGCATCCACTGTTCACGTAATGCTGGGTTCATTGGGAAGCTGAACAAGGTTATCTTTCCCTCACATCCAAAAACACACTTCTTTGGAGACATTCTTCTCGAGTAAGTCAAGTGTCAAGTCAAGTCGAGCAAGTGTGCAGCGCTGCCGACGACTTCTGTGACCCGAATGAAGCACGTTGATGGGCTGCTCTTGCTCTTGCTCTTGCTCTTGCTCTCGCTCTGGTTGATGTGTGCGCGTGCTCTTCCGGGAGAAGAGCCCATACAAGGAATTCCGTCCTTCATGATGTCATGAAGGGCCAAGCTCAAGAAAAAAAAAATCTGAAACTTACACGAACCCGGAAGGAGTGTATTTGGCACAGAAATATTAAAAACTAACCAAACTTAAAAATAATTTGCTTATAATTTCCACACAGGAAAGACTTGGTGTTGTTTCCAAACAGAAGGAAATGTATCGGTATTGGCTATTGGCCAAAAAGAGTTGAAAAATATCGGATATCGGCAAAAATCCAATATCGTGCATCCCTACTTCTTTGGAGACTTCTCGAGCAAGTCCTGTGCAGCGCTGCCGACGACTTCTGTGACCCGAATGAAGCACGTTGATGGGCTGCTCTTGCTCTTGCTCTTGCTCTTGCTCTTGCTCTTGCTCTTGCTCTTGCTCTCGCTCTGGTTGATGTGTGCGCGTGCTCTTCCGGGAGAAGAGCCCATACAAGGAATTCCGTCCTTCATGATGTCATGAAGGGCCAAGCTCAAAAAAAAAAAATCTGAAACTTACACGAACCCGGAAGGAGTGTATTTGGCACAGAAATACTCTGTCATACGTCCAAATCGTTTTTTTGAAACTTTGGCCATGTTTAGCATGAGAATCCAACTCTTTTAACAGTGTAAATAGCTCAGAATGCATGAAATAGCATTATACCTACCTTTAATATAACACCTATTAAATATTGGTTTTGCATACCAGTTATCAGACACAACAGAAATAACTGTCAAGGAATTTTTCTTATTCGTGTTATAACAGCATATGGGTTTAAAGCCACATGAGTGTGAGTAAATGACGAAAGAGTTTTAATTTTGGGGTGAACTATCCCTGTAACCTTCCTTTAACTTTCCTGTTATGACCTCTGACAGCATCTTGACAGCCTGAATTCACTTTAATATTAGTTGAGTTTTCCATTGCACAGATCGTTCCGGACTCACGTGTGTGGAAAAGATCGAGAAGTGTCAGGAGATGTACTTGTTAGCATTCGAGCACTACATCAACCATCGCAAGCACAACATCTCACACTTCTGGCCCAAGCTGCTGATGAAGGTGACAAACCTGCGCATGATCGGCGCCTGCCATGCCAGCCGCTTCCTGCACATGAAAGTGGAGTGTCCCACAGAACTCTTCCCCCCGCTCTTCCTAGAGGTCTTCGAGGATCAGGAGGTGTGACCGAGAGCCACAGGGGAAGTTGGGGAGGGAAAAAAGGGGGCAAAACTGGACGTGAATTTGTTTTCGCAAAGCATACCAGAAGCATTTGATTTTTGCATCCTCGTGCAATGCCGAACCGGGACATGCACTTTATTTTGCACCATCAGCTTTGTCTGGGATATGTTTTGGGTTGTCGGCCTCCACACCTTTCAACCCTACAGTCATTTGTCAATCAGATTCCTCCCACAGACAGACAAAATGCTAGCATGCATCAACCTACCTCTCATACCAACATACCTCCCAACCTCAGAAGGAGCTTATTTTAAAAGCGTGACAAAGAAACCCACACATTCAAAAGCTGTTTAATAACCTGTTTCAGAAATGCTAGCTGTTGTTGTAAGGACAGAGGAAACTTCTGTGAGCAACGTCGAACACCTATATTTGGGTTCTACACAATTAACCTACAAAATAATGCAAATGTTCACTGATTGCAGTAGTATTTTAGCATTCATCTTCCTCTTTGCACGCATAGAATATCTCCTTTGTAAACATAACTACCTGTGTGCACTTGTACACTCTGTACATACATTAATATGTTGTGTGAACTTCTCATACCTCATACACACCAGCATACAGACATACATGTAGCAACATGTCCATACATGTATGTATGCTTACAATTCTACCTGCATTAATCTATCCATCTACGTACAATGCAGTATCTACAGTTCGCATATACCTTCCTATCTACCATATCCACTTGTATGTTACTTAAGCTGTACATTTTGTGACCTTATTTTCTGAATAGCCTCTTGTTGCTTTCTGTCATGTGACCCATTTAGCTGTCGTGAGGTATTTCCTCCTGTATTCATCTGTCCTAGTGTTACCCATTTGGACAGACAGATTGATATACATACGTATTAAGCCATATGCTGTGGTTTGAGACACATCCATCTCCATATTATGGCCTTCTGACTGCTCAGAATCAGAATTTGACAGATGGTAATAAAAGCAGAAACTAGGGGTTAGATTATTAAGAGTAGTAGTGTACAATGGGGCTCAAATAACCACTTTAACAAAAGGTGTTGAACAGTTTTCTGTTTAAGTATTTTACATGTAAATATGATTAAATACTAACATTATTTTAGTATTGTCTTTAAAAACAGCATAATTTTGTATTATGCTACAATGTTTCACAAATGAATCTCCATTGTTATTGGAGCAGTCAGTTAAATTTCAGCCATCTTGACTTTGGCGGTATTTTTCCCATTCAGCTGCTGTAAAAATGTAAAGATTTTAAAGGGATAGTTCACCCAAAAATGAAAACACAAAAAGAAGACATTTTGAAGAATCTTGGTAACCAAAGAGTTGACGGTAGCCATTGACTTCCATAGTATGGAAACAAATACTACCATCAATCAACTGTTTAGTTGCCAACATATCATAATATCTTCTTTAGTGTTCAACAGAAGAAAGAAACTCTATAGTCAGCATAAAATGAAAATTCATCACATCTGTTTTCTAAATGCATGTTATTGTTCTTTTTGTGAACCATTAATTCGCGCATTAGTGCATTTTTTGGCACTGTTATGTTTAATCAAAATCACATACACTTTTATCACAATCTGTTGCTACTTTAGTTTTACCTAATACAAATTTTTCCCAAATACTCATTTAGTAATTTACTAATTGCTAGTTTGCTGAAAAACTGTTGACTTAATCATCTTCAACAAAACTGAAAATCATAAACAAGCATCGTTGCAAAATGTATCATTTCAAGGACTCTCATTAGTTTCATCCGCAACATTTACAATGTTTTAAAAATTAATAAATGACTTCAAATAAACCTTATTTATTTTGCAGTGCATAACGACAGACAGGTCCTTAGGGTAGTACTGTAGTGGTTTTGAGTTTGTGGCTATCCATTGTTTTGAGAGGGAAATGAATATAGAAATTACTTTTGGCCCAATTGTACACTACATCTCTGCTGATTTTGAAAGTAGGGAACTTAAAATCTCCACAACCTTCTTGCAAGAGGAAATGAGTGTCACTTACCTCTCCATCTCTTCAAACAGACTACCTCACCCCTCATCCATGCATCACAGTCTTTTTCACTCACCTGCTCATGCATGTATATTCCTGCTTAAACCTGTACATGAATGTGCACATTTACACTAAAATGTCACATACGTGTGACAGCAACCTCACTCACGTGTATGTATACTGCTTTCCCTTTCATGATGTGATGTGGGACCAAGTGTCAGTCTTGTTCCCTGTTTCTGAGGACAGTAAGAATGTGCTATGAATGAATTTCACTGTGCTGTAACAGAGCTAACCGATTGCTTAGCAGATTATTTTGCTTTAAGCAAATGCTGGAGAAGTGGCACAGGAAGATGGCTCTTGCGTAATACAAACCTCAATTTTTCTCAGCCCAGTTCTGTGGTCCCTGTGCCTCCAAACCTGACCTGTGCATGTGCGCCTGTACATCTCACACAAAAACTTTACATGAACTCTTCCCCAGCAAAGGACAGAGCCGGACCCCCAAAGCATCCCTTCAAGTAGTTTAACCAGCTTAATTTTTGTGGTTCAGACGCATGGCAGGGTTTCAATGTCCTTTTTGATTGATACTGTGTCAGTATGGCTCCAGGAAGTGAGACGCAGCCTCCGTTTAAAGTGACATAGAGGAACAAAAGGGCAGAAAGGACAAACTCACTGTGACTAGCTAAACTCAGGCACGGGACTCCCATGAGGCCATGCATCTGACTCAGGCTCAATCTAACCCACCAGCACTGCAAACATGCACTGCCCACAGTCACAATCTTCTGCACCAGCAATGGTCAGCTCAGCTGAGCCCTGCCCACAGACCCTGTTCTTGATAACGGGGAATCAGGAAGCCATTTGTTTTGCTGGACTTTTATTAGAGCAGAATTCAGTCCTTTACACCTAGCCAAATCATGAATATGTTGATTGAGACTTTGACTCTTAAAGGGGTCATATCATGATATTTTGAAATAAAAGTTAATTGTACTATGAAATCAGACTGTAACTTTCAGAACTTCTTCCCTTGTCCAAATTTAAAGGCATTTACTGAAACTATGCAGCAAAAATGTATTTGTCTGAATATCAACATATGACCACCAACATTTATATATTAGCCATTCTTATTTGGTGCCCACTCACTATGACAAAGCAAGATAGGTAATATTACAAGAAGGACTAACGATTAGAGTAAAATGTTGGAAATTACATCAAACTTTGTGCTTTTCCTGGCTGTGTGTAGCACCTACTGCTCTGCAGATCCTTCTGTAGGATCCCAGTGTTAATGGGCATAATTCACCCAAAAGTGAAAATTCTATCATAATTGACTCATTCTCGTGTTGTTTCAAATCCATAAAACGTTTGTTCATCTTTGAACACAAATGAGGATATTTTAATATATTCTCCAAATTTTTGTCAATTTATTTAAAGTCCACACAACCAAAGGTTTGATCAATCTATATGATTGATCTATATGAATCAAGAATCAAGAAGTGCTTTATTTGTTAATTTAGGATTTTTTTACAAATACAAACATAGATATCATCAAATATGGTTTTTAACATTTTCTGTAAGAAAAATAAATAAATAATAATAGTTAGAAAAAAGGGGAAAAAACGGGAGAGGTAATACCAGGACAATATCCCTTAAATTTACGGACGTTTCCTTTAACCCTAAAAAACAACATGCAATGCAGAGTTCAAAATATGGATAAAACAAATTCATATTTAACAGTGCATTGGGCCCAGTTTTTACAAAAATGATGAGAGAATATTAAAAAAAACACACACTTGATTTGTGTTCAGATGATGAACGGAAGTTTTGAAAGGTAATCTGGAAAGACATGAGGGCAAGTAAATGAGCCCAGAATTTTCATTTTTGAGTGAAATATTCTTTTAAGAAACATCATTTTGAACAAGGTTTCAGCACACATTTCAGAGCAGATTGGATTCAGTTTACAGATGAGCACAGCAAAGCCTGTTGCTCATTTCACATGCAAATAAACTGTTTATGACTTCAAGCCAAAACAGCCTGTTCAATGTTAAGTATCAGCAAGAAGATGTAAAAACAGTTATTAAAAACTAAATTTTGATTATTGTCGGAGCAAAAAATTATAAGTGGACCTCTTTTTTTTATAAAAATAAAATGTATGATAGGACTCCTTTAATAGATCTTAAAATAAGCAAAGTCTTCTCAACAGCCCTCTGGAAAATTTACACGCCCCAATAAATTCCATGTGAAATACATGTCCATGTCTGCAATGTAGCAAGTCATATTTGAGGTCCAAAAGTTCAAGTGTGAAAAAAAGTCCTGCCATTCCTTAAAAAAAACTGTCCATCTTCTGATGAGGAATGTAAAAAATAAAAAGACAAAGCACTCATTCTTAAGTATGAATACTTGCTGTATTTTATGTTGAGTGGAAAAATACAAAATTTCAGGCTGTGAATTTTAAGTGAGCGGATTGTGACGAGCAATTGTTCAAACAGAGCAAAACTAAAGTTGATGTCAGACACTGTGCTTTGTTGTACATGTTTTTCAATCTGAACTGTACTGTGGGTGTGTAAGTGCTCAGTGTGGACAGCCATCGTGCTTCGCATGTGTTTAATTGGTTTGACACCCTTCATTAGTATTTACGCTGTCTGTCTCCCATATCAAGATTGTCTTGTAGTGATTTGATGATGAGCACTTCTGTTATTTCAAACCTTCATACCTTACATGTGAACAATATATGAGGATGAGTTCAACATAGACTTATTAATGTCACTTTTGTGTCAAACACAGCACTTCTCACCTCTCCAGTATCTTAGACTGCCATAATGCGATCAGGCTGGAATGAATGTAGTTGTAGGTCTGACAGGTTAGAAACATAGTTAAAAGACGCCAAGACTTTTATTCAGTCAGAAAAAGACACATCTGCAGCAGATCTGCGTTTCTTTGAGAGGTAAACCACCATCACTAGTACCTCAATCTACAGTATTCAACAGGGTCTAATACACAACAGGACCTCGCGCACTTACTTTAAGAAACCATCCTCATCCTCACCGGCTATTGATTTGTAAACCCATTCAGTGCAATAGACCAAGGGTACACAACTCAATAACTGGAGGGCCGCAGCCAGTTTAGTTCCAAACCTTCTCCAACACATATACCATGTCGTTTTCAAATAAGCCTGAAGGACTTGATTAGCTGGATCAGGTGTGTTTAATTAATGGAGCTTAAATTTGCAGGGCTGTGGTCCTCCAGAAACTGAGTTTTGCACCCCTGCTTGATTAGTAATATATAGATACATTTTTTCTTCTTTAACAATGATTTTATCTGCATTCTCTCTATCACAAATAGCTCTATATAATGACAAAGACAATGATGCTTGTACAAATGATGTTTGTCTGTGTCCTTTTCTTGCTCGTGAAGCATAATCCATGTGCTTTTACTCGATTTTGAACACTATGCTTATACGGGAAGTTGTTAAGATGCCCTCTCCTTTATGGGTCGGCGATGCACCATCTACTCCAGCAGTGCAGAATTGCTGTTAAATCATCCTTTGTAGCATTGTACATTATCCTTCTATGAAACTGTCCTAGTACAAACCTGTAATGGATGTGAAAGGCCTGTGAGGTTTTCCCTACAATGCCTCTCTGATCAGTGGATTAGTGGGTGCAATGCAGACTGTTTTTTTTTTCTTTTCTTTTTTTATATTTCAACTTTATTTTAGGAAAAATTTAACAATTTTAACCGATTCTCAAACCGCTGACCATCATTGGACTGTGACTTGGTCAATATATGTATTTTCAAGATATTTGCTTTGAGCAATTCATTTGCATGTAACTACTTTAACAAATAAGATCATATTTCACATACAAGAACCAAGTAGAAATTATTAATAAAACATGTCCTATTTGCAGGTATACAATCAAAATAAACTTGTGTTCAATACCAATCAGACGAAAGCAAAACATGTGGGAGGGGTTTAAAAGTAACTCAGGAATGTGTGCTACTTTTCACTTTAAAAAAGGTTTAATAAATGATTGTTGTCTGTTGTGAAGGCCTCTTGTGTTTGATTATTTGTGACAAAGCTGTAGTTATCATTGACTACTAAAAAGGGATCACTGTAATTGATATCACAGCACAAAACAAATAGCTATACCGAGAAAGACTGGTTAGTTTTATAGCAAATAAATACCAGGAATATATACGTGTCAGAGCAACTATGTGCTTATGTTTAGAGAGAGCTAGAGAAGGGCATATATGCTTGAATATTAATTTGACACTTTGTACTGCATAAACTACGGTCACTAGTAACACTAAAGGGCAGAAGATACTAAAAACAAGAGACATGCTGAAATAACAAACCAAATAGCCAACTCACCCAAATTGACTTGCTAACTGCTAACATTTAGATGATAAAAACAGATTCAATGGAAATATTAAACATTAATTTAGCTAATCATTTTATATGTAGGCCTGTTTAGGTTATATATTTAGGTATTATCAACACACAGCCTTCCTTCACCTGCCAGCCTATCGTTTAGCTGGCAGAGCTGGCCCAGGAATCCATCATTGGGCCCGATCTCCCGTTTCTCTCTCACTGTGGCCACAGCAGCTCGTACATCCATCCTGTGCTGCAGCATCAGGTGTGCGATCACTAGCGCAGCCGAACGACTGTAGCCTTTCTGGCAGTGTACATACACTTTACCTACAGAAAAACGAGAGACTGTGACTACTGGATAACATTGAGCGCAACATATACAATTCTCAAAGAAACTTTCAAGATTTTCAGGTCACTTTAACAGTGGGCATGGAAAAAGCAATGGAAAACTTCATTTTTTACGAATTGGCAATTTCATGTAAATATTAATGAGTAGAATTGATATGTAGGGAATTTTTAGATCCTATGGAAACGTGCGGATGAGAGCGTACAAATCCACCAAAACGCAAAATAGCTACGAATCGCCATGAGAGTGTGTTGGAAAAACTGAAAGGATTGAAAAGAACAGAATTTGTATTTGTATTCTAATCTAGCCAACAGTCCTCGAATTTGATTGGTCGAACGGCGCTCCAAGAAGGCTGAAATAACCAGTGTTATTGTTACAAGTAACGCGAGTTACGTAATCAGATTACTTTTTTCAAGTAACTAGTAAAGTAACGCATTACTTTTTAATTTACAAGAGAATATCTGAGTTACTTTTTCAAATATTAAAAAAATGTATTGATTGACAGCTCTCCTGTCCCCATGTTGAGAGAAATCAGAAGATGTTACTGTAGTTCTAAAATAAATATGAATATGCATTAATTCATCTAAAAAAATAAAACACAGATTCAGTATTCCTCAAAATGAATAAAAATAATGCAACTCAGAATATAACGCAAACCTGCAATAATTAAATGTTAAACAACACAAATATCCTTTATGTATTTAATCCCATTCTATTAACCAGTGTCTTTGCTTCTGATCTTCGATGATCCAGATCAACCATACTAATAAGCAAAAATTACTCTAGACAAACATTTGTGTGTCTTTTTTTATTGCTGAAGTGTGTTGAAATTTCTTCTTTTGCACTCTACTGTACGGACGTAAATGTACTTTCCCTTTAGCCTGAGGCTTATTCATTTCACTTTTGGTGTGAAAAGGCTTTTATATTTGCCAAAAATATAACTTTTTTATTTCAAAAACAAACAAGCAAGCCCTGTCCAGATTTAAAGAGTAACGCAAAAGTAACGTAACACATTACTTTCCATAAAAAGTAACTAAGTAACCTAATTAGTTACTTTTTTATGGAGTAACGCAATATTGTAATGCATTACTTTTTAAAGTAACTTTGCCCAACACTGGAAATAACAGCCCAGCAGACTTTTCACTGTCTGTATCACTCCGCTTGTTCGCGCGATTTTCTGTTTTGCAGGTTACATATTACGCCAGTAGGTGGCGAGAAGGTTCTTCATGGGCGAGTCACATTCTTTCAAAAACACTGCTTCATTCAAGCATGACACTTTTCTGAATGGAGTTATTGAATAATTCACTCAAACTATTGGTCATTCGAGCAGTAGCCTAAACACCTTTATTGCGTGTACCTTGGAAATGCGCCGAGCTTTGGCTTCCTCTGGCGGACAAAACAGACAATACTGCATCTAAAATGTAAGTTGCTAAATAACTTATTGTATACGCTCACAATCATTGCTCTTGCTAGCGTGATATTACCTAATTTTTTTGTAGCTTATATTATATTGTCTGGATAAAGCAGGTTGCTGTAGTTAAGTGAAAGAAACCCTTCTTAAAGCGTTGAGGTTCATGAAGCATATCCAAGTTGGCAGTGAGAGCAGGCAGCAAGCAACCATTTTATTATTATTATTATTAGTGAGTCATTGAAAGATTAAGAAGATTGAGGATATACTAAATAGATCGTTCACCCAAAAATTTAAATTGTGTCATAATTTACTCCCTCGTGTCTTTCCAAACCTGCATGAACATAAAAGATCATTTGAGAAATGTCTGTTTGGTTACCAACATTCTTCAAAATATCTTCTGTTATTTTCTGTAAAAGAAAGAAAGTCATACTTGACATTCACTCTGAGGGTGAATAAATTATGACAGAATTAAACTTTTTGGGTGAACTATGCTTTATCAATTAGTATCTAGCTCTGAAGAGCCAAAAGCAGTACTACTGCCACTGAATGAGGGACGAGAAAAAGATATGAATAATTTTAAGCTTTTTACCAAGACCCTTCAGCTCTTTCATTGCCAAAGCTTGTTCAATGAAATTAGAAGCCTCTTCAAAATATACGCTGAGGTCAAAATGGTCAGTGTCAAAGGCTGGTATCCCATGATAGATGATCCCTGTATCCGCATAGAACTCCGCATCCGTATTCACATGCATGTCCGATTGGCCTTCTGCAGCATTGAGGATGTGTGTCACTCCCAGCTGATGCAAACGTGTTACATTTGTAGCTACAGACCTGTTGAGATACAGTAAAATAACAGCTGCATCAGTATGAGCATAGAGCATTAGAGGGCGTCCTTCACACATGGAAAATAGGCCATGTTTATTTAAAGGCTTGCCCTTGAGAATTTGCAACAGGATACATGAACATGTTTTGAATCTCAACTTATCAGATAAGAAAGGCTAAACATATGATTGCAAAATGTAAATGTTTGTTGAGCACTGCTGCTTTAATTAAAGAAAAGAAAAAAAACTACACATCTGGAGGCTATGTGCACTTACTCATTTCCTAGGAGTATCCCGGGGTAAACTTCATTGAATTGTTTGGAGGGCATACAGAAGTCTCCGTTTTCATCTGTCAACAGATCATTGAGCTGCTGAACAGACACTTCATAGTCTGTCATGTTCAGCTAAAGATAAATTGCCTTTCAAGTAGAAAATGCTGTTCCTCAGTGCTGACTCGATTTTCTTTAATCCAGTTCCATCTTCATTGTGTCGCCTTTTAGAGTGTTAAGTAATGGTCTAGTCTAGTGTTTTTTTAGTCCAATGGTCAGTATTCAGCTTAACATAATTCAAAAGGGGTTCACATTCATCTGTTAGTTGATTTTGTTGTTAGGCCTAGAGAGAGTTAACTACAGCCAACACTCAAAGCTATTACCCTCTTTGTGTGCTTCAAACCACTAGGTGGCATCAGAAAGTCTTGTGATTTTAATGATGGAATATAGCCTTTAAAAATATATTTTTAGACTTTTGAGATTTTTAGATGAAATCCATTTGGCATGTTTACATGTCCTGTGGCATGACATGCTATACGCCATCTAAATGTTTAATTTAAAATAATTTAAATAATTGTATAGTTATTATGCATGCAACTTTATTTTTCATTTAACTTTTATTTATTTATTTGTTTTGCGTTTATTTTAGATTTTTATTGTTTAAACAAAGAGACCACATGGAATATTTGTAGTTGTAAAAATTCATTGTCACACGGCAGGGACATAAAACTTGTCATAAATATATTTTCCTAAAATTCAGTTTGAAATTCCTGACAATGAAATATTGAGCACATTCAAACACATTAATGAAAAGATCAAACTGAGAAGTTTGAAAACCAAAGCTAGATTTCAAGACTACTGTTGTAGCGAAGAGAAAATATGCAATAGTTTGATAAATAGTCAAGAAGAATGACTGAGGTTGCAAGCTTTGAAATATAGGATAGACATACATCAGACAATGGCATTTTATTCAAATTTACAAGAGCTTACAAAATCCACATTTAGAATAGATTACTTATTCAGTCTTTTAAAAAAAAAACACCACAAAAACCTGCAAGCAAAAAAATGTAAGCAACGTAAATCTTTCTTAAAACAAATATTGGGGAGGAAATTGAAGAACGTTTGGCTGTGAGTAAACTTTTAAGCAAATGAACTGTCCTAGACTGTCCTAAACATCCCGTCACATCATCTGAGTTCTGGCCATTGGGTCTTGATGATGACCAGGGTACCAGTGTCCAAAAGAGTTCATATATCCTCCAGAGTGGATGGGGGCACCTTTGGTTGACATGGAAACATCCCACAGGGGCATTCCTGGTGAGCAAGGTGTTCCGGATGCAGAAGCTGCTTGAAGGTGTTCTCCTTCTGGTCCACTTGATCCATGCTTCATGATCTTTTTGAACTTGGAACGTTTGTTCTGGAACCATATCTTTACCTGTAACATTTGCATTTGGATTAGCATTTGTTACAACACATGTTTGCACCTGTTTAAAAGCATATGGTGAACTTTATTTTTATTATTCATAACATAAGTCAAGCAAGACTGGAAGGAATTATCAAAATACATGTAGAACCATAAGCACTTTTCAGGTGGGATATATAGGGTGATGTTTGAGACCATATATTTAATTAACCATATATTTTATTAACTGATAAAATGTCAAACAGAAGGCCCCATGATGTTACTGTATAAAGTTACAATAAAAATCAGCATTTCACAATAGCTAATAAACAGACAAAACACAGTCAGAAACACATACAAACTGGTGATATTATGAACAATATACAATGTAAATAAAACACCCTGATCACAAAAATACGCTACATAACAGTTAAAATAATATAGTCAAATCTAATGCATCACACAGAGACTTCTGGAAACTTTTTTTTTGCAATAAAAAGTATGAAAGCAACTTATTTATAAAAGTAAATAAAGTACTAAATTGAACTGTTGTTTTTCTTTTCATTTGAAACCACAATTTACTATAAAGGAACGTTATCTTTGAACGTTATCTTTCATAGTATATTGTAATCCTTTTTAACAACAGCAACATTGCTGTTTTATTGTGGCCAAGAGAATTATATTAAGGGATTGGAAAGCCACTGCTCCCCCATGTTTTCAGAAATGGCTTGTGGAGATGGTCTCCGTTTTAAACCTTGAAAAAATTCGGCTTAACGAATCAAAGTCTCTTAATTTTTCCAAGATCTGGGGTCCCTTCCTCCAATATTTACAGAATATTTGAACTTAAAGATTAAGATTATTATACTATTTATAGTATTTATCTGTTATGGCTATGATTTCTGTGGTGATTTTTGTCCCTGTCCTTGCATGATCTATATTCATTTTATGTATTTTATTTAGGCATTTTTGTCATTTATAAATTCCTCTGTTTTTTTTTTCTTTTTCTCGGGTTGGGGGTCATGTTGTTTGTTTGTTGTTGTTATAAAACAAATAAAAATAATATGGCAAAAAAAACATTTCTGTTTTATAGTAAAATTGCATGTATTTTACATGTACTATTACATTTTTTTTTTTTTACTATTTAAGATAAATTAAAGCATGAACAGATTTTACTGGACCATTTTTACTTATGAAATTACTACCATTTTAGTTCTTTGTTTTGTTAACTTTTACAGAATCAACAGCAGGGAAGTCAGACTTTTTCTTCTTGTCTTTTTTTTACAAACACTGATGTTCAGAAGTAACAGCAGACATTTTAAGAGTGAGTCTCTGCCAGCTTTGATTCAGCATGATTTTTTTTTTCAACGCCAGCTTGAGTTTGCTGCAAGTGAGAACTGTGATCAGTCCAAAATTTTAACCAGAAATCTCCCTAGCACACACTTGTGCATGCCTTTTTTAAATTATTTTTTTAAAGAATATATGATATAAACAAGCCTTGATATTATACTCTGGTGTTTTTAATTTCTTAATTGTGTGACTAACGTGGAAAATTCGTACTAATTGTGAATTTACAATCAAAGTCACACCCTCAGAGCTGTAAAATCTTCTATAATGAAACATAATTAAAGTGATGTGCTCCAAGAGACTTTTAAGCTGGATGAAAGTCCAATTACCCTTTTAACATTTTCTCTGCACGCTGACACCCAAACTAATTATACTAATTTAGGATTTCACAAATGTTTTTTTTTTTTTATGTGATGTTCCTCTTGCCGCCTTTAGATGCCTTTATTTTTATCACTAAAATGATGTCTGCATGTATTACTATCAGAAAATAGATTAAATGAGCCGCCTGTACTAAAAAACAGGAACAGGTGCCAGAGGCAACATTCAACACTTTCTTACTGCAGCAATGACAGAATTTCAATTGCTAATATAGAGTATTTGGCTCTGCAAACTGGCCACACACTATCACACACACATCTTAAAGTTTTGATATGTGTGTCTGTTCTGCTAAATATTTGTCCTGCTGAAAATATATTTTTTGTAAATGTCCTCAAGAGAAAACAGTAATAAATACATGATTCATTTCCAAACCAAAACAACAGCGTATTTATACTGTAATTGTATTGGAGGTTTAATATATGCTACACAAAAAATAATACTGTAACACAGTAAGTTATGATAGTAAGAGCATGAATGAAGGTCATAATGTGTTTAAAATAATATACAAATTATTTTCAGACCATAAATATTGCTTTTAGTTTCACTTTCACTCTGTTTAGTTAAAAAAATGTAATAATTAATATCTTTGTATCTGCAACACTACCAGACCCAGACTTTCAAACTATCAATCTACAAAAATTTGAAAAGTAGCCAAATAAATGGAAAAACATATTTTCAAGACAGTTTTAATGTGACATTTTCTATAACAAAAAGAAAAAAAAGTTTACATCTTCATACCAGATTATTTTTATTTGTTAATAGAAATCATATAAAATGAGTGCCTGTACTTGGAGAAACAATGATTTATGATTAATTAAAATTTTCTAGAAGCTTCAGTGTGTCCTTTCATTATAGTTACTGAAATGTAGGGTGAAGTCCGGTAAAATGGGTCATATAAGGTTGGAGTAGAGAGAAGTTCTTCAATTTGTTCGGTTACATAGACATATAGCTTGTGACAAAGGACTGGAAGTCGCTAAATGTTGCTGAATATAATACAATAAATAATTATGACTTTACTAAGTTGAAATATTGATTTCAGAAATACTGATGCTCTAAAGAGATTAACCCTAGAAAGCATGCTTGGCAAAAATAGATCAAATTAGATGCATGTTATTTATAAAAAACACTGTCATAAGAAAAAAAACATTTAGAATGCATGTGTGTACCTAACATGGACTACTGTAATGAGTATACAGTAAATCACTGTGCGTGAAATCATCAACTATTGTAAATGACAGTTGGATATTTACTTTCTTAATATAAATCTGAACAAAAAAGTTATAGGCCTATTCATACAAACTCCCTTTTATTATATAAAAACAACTTAATCTGAAAAATGATATGAAATGCAGTTAACTTTGCGCTCTCTCTGGTTGGAAACAGAACTAAACAAAACCGGATACTACAGCCATGGTCATATCCGCACTGATGAATCGCATAGTTACTATATCTGCATTCATATATTTATCTTTGTTGTCTAAGTATATGCAATATCTACTTTTGACTACAATTATGCGAGATATGTGGCTGCCACGATTTTGATAATTGAAGCAGATTAGAATCTGCAATTGAAGAAGGAAGAGACTCGTGCTCCCTTTTATTTATTTGTTTTTCTTGTTTGCGAAATTGAGGACGAAAACCATTTGCAGGGTCATATATTACTTTTATAAGAAATATTATTAAGAATAGCCTATATCACACATCGAAGGTGTTCTTATAAACGTGAGCCTACATACAGTTTTGAACTTGCCTGTCGTGTAAATCCCGTGGCAGCACAGCTCGCGAAGTATCGTTTTTTACAAAACCACATTTTTTTTTGCTATATTTACAAACACAAAATAGGCCTCCATGGTTATCGTTTATTTTTCGTTCCTTTGTACCTGATAAATGGTTCGAAAAGGATTCGAGGCTTTTGATATTTTACTAACATTTGAACACGTGCGGTATGATCATCTACACTTTACGCGCTACCAACGTTCTTCTTTGTCCTTTGTACAATCCTATAAAACACAGGCCTACGCACAGTTACCTGTTGAAGTCTTCACATTGGTTTGTATTGTTCTTATAGACTAGACCCTATAAACGTCTGGTATTTATAGAAAGAATAGCGACCTTTAATTCTTCCTTATTAGCCTATGAACCATTTTTCTTTTCAGAACGGTCCACAAAAGCATGCAGACACACAGATACACGATACACACATCATGGCGTAAAGTCGGAGTTATTCTCCATCTTTAATTCAGTGCTGTTATATGTTCATACCTGTGTTTGTGTCAGCCCCAGCTTGGCTGCCAGATCAGCGCGCTCCGGCAGCGCGAGGTACTGGGTCTGTTGGAAGCGCTGGTTGAGCGCCTGCAGCTGTAAGCTCGAGTAGATCGTGCGTGGTTTGCGAATCTTCTTCCCCTTGCCGTTCAGCCGTATTTCTCCACTTTCAATGGAACTTTGCTTCTCGGAATCTTGAGTAAGAAGATTAAATGTTACATTAAAACAATAATATCGGAGGTACTAATAACTGTTAAATAAATCAAAGAAAATAAATAATTCCTCAAAAATGTGTTGGCCATTCTGTCCGAAGAAAAGGTTTGTCAACCGCATAAAAGACACTGGGTTTAAACAGACATTTTAACTACATTAAATATCTACACGTAGATCTTAAAAAGCAGATCCTGTGTAATTTGTAACTTTATAGTCAAATTTCACTTTAATTAAAAAGTTATAAATAATTATATAGTAATAAAATGTTGTCATGAAGACTAAAACAAGCCAGTAATTATTTATTTTCCTTTCTTTTTTCTTTTTTTTTAAAACCTTGCAATCCAAAGACAGAAATCACGAGACATTAATCCGTGTGTGTGCGGGGTCCGAAAATTACTTGATTTGTTAATTAGAGTCATTAAAGTATATTAATTCATATTGCGTATATATCCAGTAAAGTTTGTAATGTGGCATTACAAAAACTACACGAGTGTCTTAGAGTTGAGTAGGCTACAGCTAAAGCAAATATGCTCACTCGTAAAATAATCGTTAAATCCACTGACTTTTTGACAAAGTATGATTTAACGGTAGCACTTTACAATAAGGTTCCATTAGTTAATGTTAATGTATTAACTAACATGAACAAACAATGAACAATACATTTATTACAGTATTTATTCATCTTTGTTAATGTTAGTTAATGAAAATACAGTTGTTCATAGTTAGTTCATGTTAATTCACAGCGCATTAACTAATGTTAACAAGCACAACTTTTGATTTTAATAATGCATTAGTAAATGTTGAAATTAACATTAACTCAGATGAATAAATGCTGTAGAAGTATTGTTCATGCTTAGTTCATGTTAACTAAAGTAGTTAACTAATGTTAACTAATGAACCTTATTGTAAAGTGTTACCGATTTAACGATTTAGAATGTGTTTTCACTTTTCTGTCTTTATTCTGAGCTTGAAATAAGCACTTCTATTTTTTTATGCACCCAACCCGTTTTAAAAACTGTGAAGATAAAACTTTGCAATAAGTCTTTTACCCATTTCACAATGGGAATTTTTTTGTCTTCAGAAATCAATCATGAATGCTTCGCTCTTTTTAAAACTAATTTTTAACAGCCAATAGCTTAACTTTGGCGCAACACGGAATTTAGTAATTTTTTATTTATTTTTTTGAAGCCGTGTCGGGTTAGGGTAAAGGAAAGCACACTTTACCTGCATCCTCTACTCTTGAATGACCGACTGGGTTGTTGTGTTGATAAGGTAGGTAAGCTCCGGGGTGGTGATGGGCGGTGGGATAATGGTAAGTGAGCGGGCGGCCGTACGAAGCAGCTCCCGAAGAGAACGCCGCATCGTACTGCGAATGTGCACCTTGATGCAAACCGTGCACCGGATAATGCGCGTGAGACACACCGGGTGAATGCTGCTGGTGAGACTGGTAGCCGTGACTGAACTCCAGAAATGCCGATTTTGAGGGGTCTGAAGCCACCAAACTTTCAGACAGTGAAGTCATAGTCATTTTTTAGAGTTATGTCCATTAGACCGATGCACCATAAAAAAGCAGCATCTATTTAGAAGAGTCGTGTGATTTCCATCGCTGAAAGAGCTTCATTAAAAAGATCCATGTCCGTGAAAACGCGACGCTCATGTGTTTGCTTTCGTTTGGACTGTGTACGGGGTCTGTGAAGCTAATCTCAACAGTCTCATCACATACTGGAGTTAATTCCAGAAGTGAGAACGCGCGCTCTTATTGGCTGCACGCGCCGTGCCCATCATTTCTTTAGACGCAATGACGTCACTAGTGTAATATGCACGGAACATCGCAATTCACATTTTGTCAGCAATGGTTTTGATATATCAATATGATTTAAAAAACAATGATTCGTTGGTTTAATGTCATTAATACCAAGAAATAAAAACAGGGCATTTAAGAAACTTCTCAAAAAAAGTCTTAATGATAAGATTTATAAACGTTGACAAATAAAATTAATCAGTGGGCAGTGGTTATGCAAATATGTATACAATTGTCAACTAACTGTGGTTGCCATACATTTATCGTAAATGTTTCAGGCATTCAGGAGGCATTTTGGGACTCACTGCAACATGTCCTTCAGTTATAATCTCAATAGGCTGTCCGTTAATAAAGTATTTTTTTCACTGAGAAGAATAACATCAGTGATATGGAAAGACACACGATTAGCTATGAAAATTTGTTACAAAATACGTGAACATAAAGACGAAACACTATCAACACACGTTATAAGCCTACTAAAATAATACAATAAACATTAACTAAACAACATAAAATGCTAATATTAAACAATCTTTCTACAAAAGGAAGAAACGAATTTATTAAAATGTATTAGCCTAAATCAAATTAAACAAAAAGTGATGGGAGCCTATAAACGAAGGGGATTTTGGGAACTAGAATTAGGCTACTTCAAGAATGAGACATTTTTACTTATAAAACCTGTAAAACCAGTCCTAGATCTAGATGAAACATAAATTAAACAATATTATCAACAAAATAATTTTAACCGCCAAACAATATTGTCCGTTAATAAAGTATTTTTTTCACTGAGAAGAATAACATCAGTGATATGGAAAGACACACGATTAGCTATGAAAATTTGTTACAAAATACGTGAACATAAAGACGAAACACTATCAACACACGTTATAAGCCTACTAAAATAATACAATAAACATTAACTAAACAACATAAAATGCTAATATTAAACAATCTTTCTACAAAAGGAAGAAACGAATTTATTAAAATGTATTAGCCTAAATCAAATTAAACAAAAAGTGATGGGAGCCTATAAACGAAGGGGATTTTGGGAACTAGAATTAGGCTACTTCAAGAATGAGACATTTTTACTTATAAAACCTGTAAAACCAGTCCTAGATCTAGATGAAACATAAATTAAACAATATTATCAACAAAATAATTTTAACCGCAAAAACAATAGGCCAATTGTTTTTCATTATAGATGTTATACAAATATTTTACAATAACTTACAACTATTATCTTTCAAAATACGTATTTTTTTATCGTGTGATTGTAAGATAATTTGCCGTAGTCTAGTATTTTTCGTTAAAATGATTAACGTTAATATTTTGAGGATAGGCCATTAAAGTTTCGACCGAAATCCGATTTTGTTATTTTTGGCGAACAATTTAACAGTTTTCAAGCAAATTATTATTGGATAACGAAATCAGACAAACAAGACAACGTTAATGCAGCCTCCCACAGCTAATTAATCCGCCTTGTTTGATTTCCGTTAAAACTAATTTTTATCGCGGTTGAGAGGAGGAGGGTTGAAAAGAGCCGCTATTGATGCGCGAGGTTGTTACATGTTTTGGTTGAAGGACACGTGTTATTAAACCAAAATAGTGACGTGACGAGAGAATTACACAAATTATAGGTGCTTTTATCATATGCCAACATTCCTCAACACACAGGTACAACCAACCGTCACTACACGCCCAGCCTCCATGCCTCAGTCCTGAAGCCTGCCTGTCCAGACTGAAACCTGACCTTTAATGGCAAAACTCCAGGAAATCTATAGAGAACCAGGCTGTAGATGTGTCATTTGAAAACATGACAACTTTAAATTTTAAATAGCCTATTTAAAATGTTGCCAATTGACCTAATAAGTTGCAAATTTGTCCTCCAGCTGTTCCTTATAGGTACATTTAACTTTTCCGGCCTCTTATTGCTACCTGTCCCAACTTTTTTGGAATGTGTAGCTCTCATGAAATCCAAAATGAGCCAATATTTGGCATGACATTTCAAAATGTCTCACTTTCAACATTTGATATGTTGTCTATATTCTATTGTGAATAAAATATAAGTTTATGAGATTTGTAAATCATTCCATTCCTTTTTTACTCACAATTTGTACAGCGTCCCAACTTTTTTGGAATTGGGTTTGTACATTTTATTTATTTAAACCTTATTTTATAATCATATAGACAAATGTTTATTTTTTTAACACACTATGGCATGGTGTATTAGTACAGCACTGCAGCTAAAAGAGAATGAAATAGCTAAAAATATTTTAAGCTACCCAACAATTGGTGGTATTTGAGCTGAACAGTATAGGCCAACAGGTCATAATCCTCCATGATTGACTAAGCACTGCTTTAACAAATGGGACACAAAAAGGGAGAGAAGCAGAGGAAGATATGAAGGATAGAGAAAGTATAAGGGATAAGAGAGATAAGACCATGGGCCACAATAAGAGAGAAAGAGAGGATAGCGCGAGATTCACAGAGAAAGAAAGTGTACACCATCCCAGTCTGTAATTATGTGTACATTATAGAGGAGAACAAAACGAGCCCCTGAAGTCATAACACAAGGATATACTCTCACTTTGGTTTTCATTCACACTGGGGGAAAAGAGGTTAATAACAATCCTTCTCGTCTTAGGCCAGACTAGCTGGCGTCGTCACTGTGTGTGTCTCTCTTCTGGTGTGTATGAATGTATATTTCTGCACTCTGTTGCCAAGATACTGTGTATTGTGTAGGTGAGTTTATGTCACCTATGATTTAAGGGCAGGTGATAATGCTATGGCACATGTTTCATCTGATTAAAGCTGAAGCCCAGTGCTGACAAATGCTCTCCTGATGTAGCCTAGGTTAACTCCAGTGGATGAGGAAGGAATAAATCACAAGGCCTATAATCGATACTAAACGAGAATGTTAAGGAGAAATGTAAGTAATTTGTTGGAACTTAGTTTGCTTTGAAATATGTGCGATAATAGTAAGGCATGGCAATTTAGATAATGTGTTTAATTGACAGGCAATTCAAATTCTTTGAAGTAGGTTGTAAGTAGGTGTGGATAAGTTGTCCATCAGTTGGGCTAATGCTGTCTTGTATAAGCAGATCCTAAAGCACTATGGAGTGATACACAAATATGACATCCAACGCAAAAGTAGGCCTAGGCCTATACCTAAAGGTCTGCTGACACTTGTAATCTTCCCTATTGACAATGCCAGGTAGGTGAATGTTTAGTCGTTATTTATTAATTATCAGTATGTTTCAATCATCCTATTTTAATGCGCATTTGGAAGTATCGCATGAGATACGAGTGATGGAAACGCCCAATTTCGAATAAAAATTCCTTAATCGCAAAAAGTTTTTTAGGCTCGCTCGAGGTGGTTTTTGACTTGTGCGAAAAAGGGTTGATGCGAATAATGGGAGATGGAAATGCATTTTGCGAATAAATTCCTCCAAGCGCATCAAAAAATTCATGTGACTTTGACTTGGAGCATGTTTAAAATATTATGACATTATTTTCAGTGCCCGTTACTAATTAATGTCACACGTTGTATAGCACTGACGGTCTTATGCTATGCTCCGTTTGATATTTGTTCTATTTTCATTAATAAAAAAATTTAATAAAAAATTCCTCTTGTATGGGACGGCAAAACCTGACTAACCAGCGGACCGATCTCATTCCACGGCATCTGAAATGTTGTTATGGTCATTCCCAAATGCACGAGCAAAGTCTGTCATCAAAGTATTTCTGGATAATTGCCTCCCAGAAATGTCTTACACGACTGCGTTCCCAAACAGCAGCATCCACCTCCGAAAGCAATGAATTCATTGTGTTTCGTCTGCTCGCTTTGAGGCGCAAGTAATTTATTATATATGAAAATGATTATATTCTCCTACTTTTCTTAGTGATTTATAGTGCCAGTTTATCAGGAAGTGACGATTTTGTTCTCTTTGACTTGTTGGATGGAAACGATGCTTGTTCGCAAATGTTTTATGCGATATTACAGTTTTGCGCATAAGTTAAATTCGCAACTTTGGATGGAAACCCCTCTCGTTTATCCTTATAGCCTATTAACCTGTTTTAAAATACGAATTGTCCAAAAGAGCTAATTTTTAATTTCAAAACCGCATTGAAATTTAAAAATTGATTAGGCCTATATATATTTAAATATTTTAAATATAAATTGGCCTGTTTATTTATGAGCAAAACAAAACTGTCCTCTGCAGTAGGAAAATAAAGAATCCGTCCCGCGACGCGGACCATAAACCTCTTCCGCAAACAGTTATTTCGGGTATTACCTACCAATTTCGTACAAATTAGCCACCTCGTAAAATATGTACGAATTGCCCTGAAATCGGGCTTATATTATTAGCGGTTTTCAAACGTTTTAAAATAAAATTCACTCAAAAAGGCGCTTTTGTTCTGGTTTTTATCGCATATGATAAAATGACCATACTCATTGAGGAGACTCGATTAATCTGCATGCTTATGCACTTGCTGACCCAATAGAGATAGCACAACGTCCTAAAGATTCCCTTTAAAGGGAACTTCGAACTGCGTCCTCTAGGGGTCGCTATGGGGGAACACCTTTAGTGTGACCTGTGTCTGAAGCATATATCTAAAAAACACAATAACATTGGCCTGCAACAGCCTATGACGTCATTACCCTGCGAGATCACAGTATAAAAGGGCGCCGGGAGAACATTTCATCCTCTTCTTCATCTTCACTGACCGTTTGTTTATGTTAGCGTTAAGCTAAACATGACTAGGAGTGCATGTTTCTCGCCGGAGGCTTTGCTCTGATACCTGCAGTTTCACACGGCTCGCGTGCTGTGTGTATGTGTGTGGTGAAGAGCAAGCGCGTTCAGCTCTCGAGGGAGTTGGATGCGCTCTGCATTCATTGCTTATTTCTTGTGAGGGATAAGCAT